CCTGTGCTTATGGGCCTGACCCCTGAATCTTTTAAGTACCTGGCAATGGCTCTGTTCTCAAACATAATTTCATAATACTTTCTACCATTGTTACCTTTGTCTACTCTCTACTAACACACATAAGACAATGCAGTAAACACCACATGATTGAATTATGAGTATGGCCATGTGCTTCTATTGGGTTTAGCATTAATTCGTAGTGAACAGGATCAATAACATTGTTCGTGATCAGGCACAAGATGTTTGTGAATATTAACTAATGGTATGGCTCTCACGAATTTCCATACTTACACCACACACACCATTTCTATACATTACTTACTTGATATGAAACTATAACATTAAAACTTATATTCTATTATGAAAAATTCCAGATTGAGCTTTTATAACATAACTTTGCACACAAGTTCTTTCATATATTTAGTTGTTTCATATTCCAATGGTCTATAACTCAGATGCCATGACCTGATCTGATGGTTGAACACCTCCCTACTTTAGAATAAACACATAAATCATATTATTTTGAAGAAAACTGTTTCAATTATCAGAAAATGTTTGTGTAAATTTCTCATGTTCTAAATGGTTTACTTGGCCTACTTACTGTTATAACCAGTGTTTAAAAATGCTGCCATGTATAGGTTCTAAATAATGACAATAACACTTCACCAAACATGCCATGTAATATATGTAGTATTATTAATTCAGGTCCTAAAAATCCAAATTTGACCATATCAAGAAATTGGTGCCTTAGTTTTGGATCAAAATAGTAAAAATATGCTTAAAAATACTGACATTTTTAGAAATTACTAGTTATAATTTTTGCAAAAATGTAGAATTAAAATCAACATAGCTGCTTAAACTGAACAACTAATTATACACTATAACATAAATCAACAGTTACTGTCTGTTCATAATGAATTCTGCTATTATTTTCATGCCATATCCATGACAACCAGTTTTTACTATAACTACTCTGGTGAACAAAATGATAGAAACACAGATATGTCCTGGAAAATATCACGTACTATTATATAAATAGTAAAAACATTCCTAAATAGATATTTAAAAAAATTATGAACAAACATTTTTGTACGAATGTAGAACTAGAATTATATTTTATTAAATTGTTTTCATGAGAAATTTTCTCTCTTTCTTTGAAGTTTGAACAAACTTTAACAACATTGATTTGAGTGAAACACCATGGAAGCATGCCTGACAGTTAGATTTTGACCACTGCCTCATCTGTAACCAAACACTTGAGGAGAAGAATCTATTCACAAGCTGACAGCAAAAACAAAAAGTATAAAATGAGAAGACATCAACCATTTATTATGATACATTATCATGTCGAATGGAGCTTCAACAGTCAAAGTTCTTCAAAAAAATAGCCTTCCTTTTAGCAGCAGTTATGGTGGTATGTGTGATGTAATGTGAGTAAGAAGAATGATGTGATTTTGCATCACGTACAAACACATCTGCATATGACAGAATTTGAAGTCTTATCACTTCATCCATTTAGCAGCTGATAACATTTTGGTCCATGTGTTTTCACCAGTTACAGTATTAATATTTGTAAAAAATTCTCCTCACTTATTTGGTCTGCTACACACAAGGCAGACTGTCCTAATGTTGAATCCCGATGTATCTTGTAAGTCTCTGTGTCTAAGGTGTTTCAAACATAACAGAGGGTCAGAGAGTATCCACTTGATGATGCCAAACATTAAATGTGCTTGTATACTACGTTTGACATTCCTCATGGTAACAAAAATATTTTTGGGCAATCAGTATTTCATCTTTGAAGGGCCACAGTCAATCATAAACAGCATCTGTGCACTGTCCTACACTATTAATTGTCAGCATGTGGGAAGTGACACAAGTCTTCTCCCCAAGAGGTAGTGGTCAACATCTAACTGTCGGGTATGCTTCCACAGCAGTTCATACAAATCCATGTTAGTCAAATATTTTCAAACTGCTAAGAAAGAAATCTCTTATAAGAACAATTTACTAAAACATAGTAATTTAACACTATCTTATTATAAGTATTATGTTTGCCATTTTTGGCTTGTTTTTACCATTTTTACCCCAAATAAAGGCACCTATGTCTTCTTAGTTAAAGGCTTTTACATTATGGGCTCCTCACTCATCAGTGGTTGTGCATGTGTGAGTGGACAATATTATGTGTCCATTAAGCAGTAACTAGCATGACATTGGGCATATGAAACTTATAAAATATACTTAGTTCTTTGAATAACTGGTATTTTAATGTTGTAGTTGCTGATACATCATAAGAAATACTTTTAATACAAATATGTGCAGGTTTTGTTTTGCATGAACAATTACATTTACTATTGTTTTAAGAGCTTTGGAGTCATTTAATTATCACCACAAAGTAACACCTCTGTGCTGGAAATCTAGGACATAAAGAAAAGAAGCCATCTCAATTAACTGATAACATTCAATCTGACACAGATCTAGAAGTAGTAAAAAATGTTGTGAAACCATTCAAGTAATTAGTGTATTTATGTACTAATGGAGGAAACCTCAGATGAATAGATAACACATTAGACTTTTAACTAAGAAGATTCAAAATCTAATTCCAGCCACCACTAATGTATCACTGTCGTATTGATGTTTGATGGCACTCTGTGTGACATAAATTTGGCACCCCCCCACCCATTAGTTTGCTTTCTTAGTCAATTGGGCAATCGGCACTCCCCGTTTGAGTTGGTGCACTGTGCAAATGCACCACTCACACTGCTCTTGGTACAGCCTTGAAACAGTCCTCAGGACTACCCTGAAAACAGTAGATTAAAAACCAAAATGTAGTACAAAACTAGTTAATAATTAGACTTCAGCGACTGTATAGACTTCTAATAATAATGATTAATAACAATATCGATTTTTCTAACCTTACTTAATTACTCGAGATGATTACTGCTATTTAACTAAATGAAACTATTTCTTTTTGACTACAAACTATGACTTTAAGAGATATTTATACTTACCATAAAGTTTACAGAAAAAGCAAGTGAATAGTTTTACAACACGTGAGGAGGAAGTTTACAATGTACAATAGATAATGTCAAAAATAACTCAAGATGTTTAGAAAAAAGCAAGTGAATAGGTGTACAAAACATAAGGAGAAATATTAAAGAGGTATAGTGGATGAATTACCAAGAGACTATTATACTGTTAATAATTCTTGTTTTTTCAATTATGTACTTTTTTCTTCACATATTTCTTATACTCTAATTCATTAAACTTTCACCATCACTAATTTAGTTATCTTAGCAAAAATTCAATTATATGATATCTTCTATCAGAATATCTACTAAAAATTCTACAATAATTATAATTATGAGTAACTCGTATATACTTCTGGGCTAGCACAGTTCTGTGCTATCCTACAAAAAAAACAACACATAATCACATACCTAGATAAAATAAAACGACACAGAAGTTTACAAATACTGAGATACAAGTCAAAACTTGCTCCTTATTACCAAGATATAATCTTGAATACTTCTAGATATCATATGGCTCATACATATTGTTGATAAATGCATTTTGTGATGTTTACTGTACAGTTCTGTACTAGCCTACAAATGAGATGTAATCATATACATAAATAAAATAAAACAATGTAGAAGATTTACAATTATCAAGGTACAAGCCAAAACTCACTCCTGATTATCAAGATATAATTTTGAATACTTTTAAATATTACATGACTCACACAACTTGTGATGTTTACTACACAGTTCTGTACTAGCCTACAAAGAAGATGTAATAATATACATAGATACAATAACATAGAAAATTTACAAATATCTAGAAATACAAGCCAAAACTCACTTTTGGTTATCAAACTATAATCTTGAACCACCCTTGAGAAAAAGTGCATAATTATACCTGCACAAAATCACAGGCTGAGAGTGATATATTAGTTTGGTAAAGGATGTCCTACTCTACAGTAATTTCACATGTGGAGATTCTGGCCATTATCAAACATAACTTCCCTGTTCCTGTATCAAAATCATGTCAACCTGTTTTCTTATTACTTTACAAAACCTGTATCAGTATACACCAAAATTTACTTTTTATATTTAATTTCTTGTAAAAAATGTTAATATTTCATAATTAAATGGTTATCATGTCAAGATATAACTAGTTCATTTGAATGCTATTGCTGCATTATGACTTGAAACAGAATTTCTGAACAAAAGTTATTATTTCATAGTTAAATGGAGTAAACAATGTTGAAGTTAATTTGTAGTACTTACATTAAATATATTTTACAACTAACTGGCATGAAAATATCACACTCAGAAGATTATTTTCCCAGTGTGTAAAACTACACACAGGAATGTCAAGAGCTAGCATGAGCCCCAGGACAAACATCCTCGCTGGCCCCCTTTCTCTCTCTCTTTTTTTTAACATTTTCAAGAATTTATTAAAAAGATCCTAAATTAGGACAGCAACGAGCTCATAAACTAGACAAAACCATAGCAGTAGCCGTTTTTACCTCGCAGCATAACCGTAAAAACGTTAAGAGCTAGCATGAGCCCCAGGACAAACATCCTCGCTGGCCCCCTTTCTCTCTCTCTTTTTTTTAACATTTTCAAGAATTTATTAAAAAGATCCTAAATTAGGACAGCAACGAGCTCATAAACTAGACAAAACCATAGCAGTAGCCGTTTTTACCTCGCAGCATAACCGTAAAAACGTTAAGAGCTAGCATGAGCCCCAGGACAAACATCCTCGCCAGGTCCCCTTTCTCTCTTTCTTTTTTAACATTTTTCAAGAATTTATTAAAAAGAAGATCCTAAATTAGGACAGCAACGAGCTCATAAACTAGACAAAATCATAGCAGCAGCCGTTTTTACCTCGCAGCATAACCGTAAAAACATTAATAAAGTAACAACAAATATCTATTAAATCTATAAAGTAACAAATGCATATTAATTATTACTCAAATTATTATTTCAGTCGTTCTTAATGTATCAAGCGTCTATATGCAAAGAAAAGCCATCAGAAATCCAATACACTTTTAATTTTGATGTTCAATGAAACAATAGTAGGTGCTCATTCAACTGAACAGGCTACAAAACCTAAATGTTTCACAATAGTGAAACAAGTAGAAAAAATTAAGAGAATATAACAGTAAAATCACATGTACTTATATTGGACTAAGGAAACTATTCCTATTGATTTCCCTATTGTAAGTGGAATACTTCAAAGAATATTGATAACAAAGAGGGCAACCAACTGATCAATGAATGCAGACTAATCTTCTTAAGTTCTATTTTTGAATGTTGCGTTACTTAATAGGTAAATTTCCAGTTCCAGTCCAACTGATACTCTATCCACTGGTGCCGAGTTAGAAAATACTTAGTAAAAGAGCCTTGTCATACAATGTACAGTTCTAAAGATTCTCCCAGTCTGTTTTTTTTTTATGAAACTTTTACTTATAAATTTCACATAATAGTATGATTTTTTACAGTGTGTTATCCTTGACATGGTTTTAGATCAAAATTTAAGTTTTTTCCCGCAGTGGAGAAAAAAAAACATTTTTTTCCCACAAACTCCAAAACTAATAACAGTTTCTCTACACTGCATATTTTCTGGTGTATTTTTAGATTACTGTTTCTCACAAATTAGTTTCCACAACGGTAAGGTTTTTCCTCGATGTGCATCCTTTCTTCTCATGATTTTTTAAGTAACTATTACATACAAATTTTTTCCCACATACATTACAACTGTATGGTTTCTCCCCAGTGTGTATCCTCTCATGCATTTCAACTTTACTTTTTGATCCAAACTGTTTTCCACATATTACACAACTGTATGGCTTCTCCCCAGTATGTATCTTCTCATGAATCTTTATGTAACTATTACTGACAAACTGTTTTCCACACACAACACAACTGTATGGTTTCTCTCCACTGTGCATCTTTTCATGACTCTTTAGGTATTTATTAAATAAAAATTTTTTGCCACATACTTCACAACTGTATGGTTTCTCCCCACTGTGTGTCTTTTCATGTATTTTAAGTTTACTCTTTGTTCCAAATTGTTTTCCACATACAACACAACTATGTGGTTTCTCCCCAGTGTGTATCTTCTCATGAATCTTTCTGTAACTATTACTGACAAATTGTTTTCCACACACAACACAACTGTGTGGCTTCTCTCCAGTGTGTATCTTCTCATGAGCCTTGAGATACATATTACATGAAAATTTTTTACCACACACAACACAACTGTATAATTTCTCCCCAGTGTGTATTTTCTCATGACTCTTTAGGTACCGTCTACATAAAAACTTTTTACCACATACAATACAACTGTATAGTTTCTCCCTAGTGTGTATTTTTTCATGAGTCTTTAAGTAACTATTACATAAAAAATTTTTTCCACACACTACACAACAGTATGGTTTTTCCCCAGTATGTAACCTCTCATGTATTTCAAGATTACTTTTTGTTCCAAATTGTCTTCCACATACAACACAATTGTATGGTTTCTCCCCAGTGTGTATCTTCTGATGGGTCTTTAGGTATCTATTACTGACAAAACATTTTCCACATACAACACACTTGTATGGCTTGTCCAAAGTGTGTATCTTCTCATGAATCTTTAGGTAACTGTTACTTAGAAACTGTTTTCCACATACAGCACAACTATATGATTTCTCCATAGTGTGTATCTTCTCATGTCTCTTTAGGTATCTATTACTGACAAACTGTTTTTCACATACTACACATCTGTATAGTTTCTCCAAAGTGTGTATCTTCTCATGAATCTTTAGGTAACTGTTACTTAGAAATTTTTTTCCACAGACAGCACAGCTGTATGGCTTCTCCATACTATGTATCTTCTCATGACTCTTTAGTCTACTTTTACTTACAAATTTTTTACTACATACAACACAAGTGTGTTTTTTTTCCCCACCATGTATCCTATGATGTTCTTTTAGGTGACTACTTCTTTTAAATTGTTTACCACATTCTGTACAACTGTATGGCTTTTCCCCAGTTTGTGTCTTCTGATGCATATTTAGCTCACTCTAAAACATTTCCCACAAATTAAACAAATGTATTAATTCTTCTCAGTGTGTGTATTCTCTGACGTATTATTAGCTCATAATCTGTTACAAATCCTTCACCACATATTACACAAGTGTAAAGTTTAGCTGCATCCATGTGTAGTATGTTACACTGTTTTATATTAGTTCCTCTTGAATGCTGTTTCACACCACTGTTGTTTTACTTCTGATGTTTGCCAAGTTTTGTTTTTGTAGAGGGATCTTTTTGTACTAAGACATATCCAGGAAACTGATTTCCACAAAGCTGTTCTTATTCATTTCTACACCTGAAATTAGAACAGAAAAGTAAGAAATAAAAATATCTTTATTTAATATCACTAAAAGTATAGAAAATATAATATTCATGCATATACTTGTTTTCATAATATACAAAATGCAAGGAGGGAAACAAGACACACATCTCCGTCCTTTAGTATCTTGAAATGCTTTGTCTTTTAGATTGTTTGTTTTTTTTATTTTAACAAATACAAACAGCTGTGTCAATGTTTTGTCATGAAGTAAATATGCACAGGAAATACAAGATTAGTAAATTAGGAACACATTTCTTATATAAGGTTGCTTTCCAGACACTACATTTCACATTTAGGTTAGCCTACGTTTTGTTTGATATTTCGTGCAAAGCTACACGAGGGCTATCTGCACTAACCATCCCTAATTTAGCTGTTAAAAACTAGAGGGAAGACAGCTAGTCATCACCACCCACCACTACTCTTTCACCAACGAATAGTGGGATTGACCATCACATTATAACTCCCCCATAACTGAAAGGGCAAGCATGTCTGGTGAATAGGGATTTGAACATACAACCCTCAGATTGCAAGGTTAGCCTACAGACAGTACATTTCTTATGTATCTTACCCTACAGGTACAACATTTCTTATCTCAGTTACTCTACAAACACAGTTTCTTATGTTGGTTAATGTACCCTAATGGAACAAACATATGTGTACATATAAAAAAAGTCATATATGTACATACAATTTCCACTTGACATTTACTATTAATTCAATAATATGTCTCTGATTGAAGATCCATTTGCTGTATACAGTATAGGAACTAAGGAAGTCAACGATAGTTTTACTTCTAAGTTCTAACCATACAAAGGATCACTAGAGTGCATTCAAGCAGTCAGATTTTTTGTCCTTCTTTTTCTTTTTTCTCTCTTCTTAACAGAAGAGGATTCATGTCAAACGGTCCGCAACTATCGATTTTAATAGTATAATCTAAAAACTAAACTACGGTGGGAAACAATGTAGTTTAGGCTTAAGTTTTAAGCTTAGTGTCTTATAAAAATATAACTGTTATATTACAATACAAATCAGAAAGATTATTTTCTTATACTAGATTAATAATACAGGTACTAAATAGATGAAGCAATATCTTTTCAGTGAAAATATTTTCAATTGTAGTGAACAACAGAAAAAAGGAAATAAAATCTTTCTAATTTTACCTAGTTAACGATTTGTACTCGAAGCTGTACTACTTAACAATGACAATAATCAAACCCATGACATTGTCGTTGTACTGTATTTGTAAGACCTCTAAGTTTGGTATCAAATGTCTTCAACTCAAAATATGACTTAGACTTTTAAAACTTCAAAAGAAGTATTTTTAACTTCCAGAACTAAAAATGGGAATCTCTAAATCCGGCCAACAGCACTTACTGCTATTACTCTAAGTCGAAACATAAACTTTACAAAATACGTCCGAAATCCCTGTATTTCGAGTTCCATCACACATCAATATTTCCAGTTTTTGTTCAAGATTTTCTGAAATACTTTTAATATTATTACCATCGTGCGATCCTGAAGTAAGTCATGAATATTTGTGGTAGCAACACAAACCTATATAATATACAATTTCTGTTTGTTTGTTCAGTTATGGTTTAATTTGTGACTTGTGTATTTCTTTTTATCTTATGGTTTAGTTTAACTATGCTTTTACCTTATCACCTGTCTCCAAGTGAGATTTAAAATGAAATAAATAGCGGTAACGTAAACAAATCTTATGTGGTCTGGCAAGGAAATAAAATTCTCAAACGAGTTTGTTTGTTTGTTTGTTTGTTACTAAGCGCAAAGCTGCATGATGGGCTATCTATGTTGTGTCTACCACTAAAGGGCGCATGACGCTAAGCTTATGAAAGAAGTCCTAGAATATCTAGGATGTTCATGATTGTTTGTGTGTTTGTTTTAGAGCAAACCCACATTAGGCTATCTGCTGTGTCTACTACGAGGAATCGAACCCAGGCATTTGGTGTTGTAAGTCCGTAATCTTGCCGCTGTCCCATCGGAGGGACTGGTAATGATTGACAGATTTTCCGAAACATCTAGTTACAAAGGCACATTATAAATACAAGATATAGAAGTGATACAACACTTCACAACAATGTTATCAGCTTTGTACCATTGTTTGCTACTTTCAAATAAAATTATTTATCGTAAAAGAGATAAGACAAGTCCGCTTAATAACGGGAGATTAGTCAAGATAACTGAAGTGAAATAATTCTGTATTATTTGACTAACTGAATTCGTGAGAAACAGACTGAACATAGCTACAATTAAAATGGACCATCTTTTTTTCTTTTTTGAAACCCAATAGTGAGAACGGCTGTGATATGCAAACATATTGTTACATCTCCGTTCGTTAGTTAATTTTCCGTAAATTCGTTCCGACGAAACTTTAGCACACAAGTCCTTCCTTAAATAAAACTGGTTTATTCTTTCTGAATACAACTTTGCGATACACTTAATTTCAACAGTCTCGCTATAACAAACGCTATAATTCTCAACGAACGTCTCACGTGCTCGACTCAACAATACTCAGTTCAATTACACACATTGTTCCCGTCACTTTGTGAC